CTATTTTATGATGCTTAAAGATCTGTAAGACTTGGTTCAAATTTGACTCTGATGCCTTATTCTGTGACCAAATTCTATAAAAAAGAAGAGACTTAAATATTCTTTCTTTTCCCTGTTCTGGAGACAGTAAGTTCTTTTTAATTAACCATAGGGTTCAACTGAATAGAATAAGCATCTGCTTTACCAACTATTAATAACTTACTCCCTGTCACTTACCAGCTTGGTTCTAGGGTCCAGAGTGTCTAAATTGAATTTCTCCTTCAGTGAGTATGTAAAAGATATACTCACAAACATGACCAATTTGGTCTCTTGTCACTACATATTCCAAACTTATCTCTTCTATGTATCTTATGGAATAGCAACCTTAAATGTGCAATATTATTTATTATTGGAAAAAATCATCCTCTCCAACAAATTGATATATGACATTGAAATGAATTCTGAGTTCCACATTATTTATGGAACATGAGTTATAGGAGTCTATATGGATTTAAAACGCTTTCTCAATTTTCTTAGGTTTTATTGTTTTTTTAAAAAAAAACATCACCACAATCTGCCTAAAACCAGTCATCCCAAGTAGATGTTCCTGAGACCCAGAAGCAAACTCCTATAATTCAAAACACATGAGGCCATTCTGTCCAATTAACAACTGGAAAATTAAAATCCTTCCCACCCTGTAAGAGCCCTATTATACTACAAAGGGCTCTATATATTTTAAAAGTTAATTTACTACAAATCATAGTAATTAAGCTTTAAGATCTAAAAGGAATACACATTGCACCCTTGAACATTATTCAAGGTGTCAACAAGAAAGTGTCTTAGATCAATTTAATAAATAATGTGGAAATAGTTGCACTAAGCTAAAATACTAAACACACAATTTTTGACAAACTAAGTTCATGTTTTCATACATACATACGTACATATATATAAAGTGTGTATGTGTACATAGTTTTAAAATCCAAAGCTGCATACCCTCACACCTAGAAGAGTGCACAGCTACCTCTCCTCTGCACACAGGCATAATGGACTGGAGAGACCACTGGCTGCTCTGAAACTCTATAGAATCAAAATATTAATTTATAACAGGTGCCTTTTGCAAGCACTTGCTTCACAATGCAAGCTCATTAAAAAAAAAAAAAGGCAATTTCACCAAGTTTCTGTCATAAAACACAAAATGATGCTATCTGAGCTAGCTAAAAAGAAACAACAATGAAAAACAAGAACAGTGAGTCTAATAAAGTCACAAGTGTATCAAAGTGCAGCCCAGAAGCCCAAGGAGCGAAAGCTCCTCAGAGCACAGGCGTGTATGGTCAAGGACACACGTTACTCTACATTGCTTTTTACTTTGGAGAATTAAATTAGTGATGGTCAACCTTCTCCACTTTTCAGCAACTATAACTGTAAATTTATTGGAAGTATTCACTGCTTTTAAAGGTCAGTTCTTGGCTACTTGCCCAGAAAAAGGTAGCGTTGAGGCAAGAAGCGGGCTGAACGCTTTCCAACAAGACTGGGCCTAGGCTGGACTTTAGAAGCTTGAGACTCACCTGGAGGGAAGCACTCTCCATAGCCCAACCCAGGCTGAGCAAGACTATTATGTAACAACTTCATCCACTGCAATCTGCTGGTTGGTTACCTACAAAGAGTCCAATAGTGTAGGCTGCTCATACAGGTGTGGTCTTAAAGAGGAGTCAACACAGTTTTTAAATAGTTGCTATTTCTAGAATTAACTATATATTAAGTACAAGTCTCAGACTACTAAGTAAGTTTTTAGTCACTTGTAAAATACAGTTTTAAATGGTTGGAGAACACTGAAGACACCTACTGAGGAAGGAGGAATGGTCACCTGTAAAGGAGCCCAAAGTATGTGCTGAAGCAGAGAAGACAAAGACAGAACTTTTGAGATGGACTCAGGACAAGGAGTGGTGTTTTCAGAGAACATTACCTTAAAGATTCAATTATTTGGGATAGGATTTTGATCCACTGTCCATTACTACCTGGTGGGAAAAACCCACCACAGTGAAAAGCTTAAAAAAACTCACACTCCAAGAATTGACCCAGTTTTCAGAGAAAAGAGTACCTTAGAGCAGCACCATAAAACATGCAGGAAACTCTCCTTTATCAAAACGCTGGTGTGACCCTAGAAACACTCCTGCTGCCTCTCAGGACACCCAAGAGATTAGCACATACTGAAACTCAGAGCGCCCAGAGGCTCCCAACGCTGACAATCTAAAAGCTCAGAGGATACATCACTGCAAATAAAGGAATCAGGGTCAGAAAAGTGAGAAGGCCAGGACATATGTCTACTGGATTAACAGTGGCAAGTTTCTTACTGAATAACTACCATGCTCGCTGAGTTGTCCTCTTAAAGAAAACTGTTCCTAAAACATGAAGATATCAGAGGCAATTTCTCCAAGGGAAAAAGGTGGTCAACGCAATTTATATATATCATTCTTCAATGATATGCAGAAAGAACTTGAAGTACAAAATAGTTAAGCTCTAGAAATATGAAGCCACAGGACAATGAAAATTCTCTAGTTTCAGGAAATACCCTACATGATTCCACAATGGAAACAAGCTCCAAACCACACGATCCCGGGACCAGGAGAGCACGACAATCTAGATTAAAAAAAAAGAAACAACACGTGTGCCAAAGCAGGAGGAAAAATACCAGTGAAATGTCCAAATCTGAAAGCACGATTGAAGAAGAGCATTATTTGCAGACATGCGCAGTGAGCCCATCTACTTTGATAGCTTCTAGCATAGAAATTGAGGACATCAAACAACTACATCAATTGTCTCAACCAATTGGAAGCCAACCATCTCAAGAAAGTTTTTCCATCTGTAGTATCCTGTCCCAACTCAAGGAGTCTTTAAAAGACTTACAAACCAGGATGGTTGGCAATTGTAAGAGACGGAATGGAGAAAATGCAAGCAACAATAGATGAAATCAAGGTTGTCACATCACAAAAGGGACTGACTCAGATGGTTGGATCAGAAACAGGAGAATTTGCTAGATTCTGCCCAGGACTCAACCCCAGCCCAATGCTGCAAAACAACAGGCAATCAAAGAGCAACCTGGCTCCTCAAACATAGTGGAATCAATGGACGCATACAATGAATTCTTTAAGGATATATAGACTCACACCCCAGGAGTCAAGGTCAATCATTTATGACTTAAGAGAGAGAGAGAGAGAAAAAAAGAAAGTTCTCTAGCTTCAGAAAACAGAGAATTCACTGCACCACTGGGCTTGGAGACTTTCTATCCTTCTTTCCATTTCAAGCCTTAGCAATTATCTATAAATATCAGGATAATCCTTTTTTTTTTTTTGTCTGATTGAGTGGTTTCATTTTTAGAATGGGGAAAAGGACAAAGTATTTTTTGAAACAGCATTACTCAATAGGTTAGATTAAGTCATGTACAAAAGCATTAGCTTCTCTGAAAGCATTCATCTTTATGCGACCCTAAAGATGTAAAAGAAGAGAGAATTTAACATTGTTACTGCAGGAGACCAACCACATGGGTGGTCTGTCCTAGTGTAAAACTTCATCTGTAAACAGTCCAGAGTCTTCATTTAAAGGTAAGATTTAAGGCACACTAGACATGATAGGGGCACTAAAACAAGATAGAGGAAATATTTCTCACCTTTGACTCTTATATGCACCTTATAGGAAAAGGTACAACTCTTATAGAGCTGGCTTCTTAAGCAATACCCCTCCTCCCCACCCCTTCCCAAGAGCTCACATTGAACCATTAGGTACTTTTCTAGTGTGAATTTTCTGATCCTATCAGAAACATATTTAATTGATGAGGGCCTTCATAATACAAAGGGACTAATTACAAAACAGGTCTAAAAGGAGAAATTCATCATCTCTACATCAGGCATTAGACCTCTAAGTTGTATTAACAAAAGCACACACACCAAAGCTCTAGCCCATTTCAGTATCAGTCACTGCATGCTCCTATCAGAGCATCACAATCTAGTGTGGAAGAATACTTATATAAGAATTCTGAGGAGAGATTTTACCCTTTAAATATCAATAATGAAAAAGATATAGACAGCAACTTTCAGGAGTTGGATCATCCTTTGCTTTACAATAACTTACATTATTTAAATTTTAATAATTAGAAAAACAAAACAAACCTACTACCCACATGGTTTTAGTAAAATCCGTAAAGTTCAAGATTGTCCTTTATGAAACCCTTCATTTGATATACTTCCCCTAGAAAGTCTGCCTGCCCTCTTCTGTAATGCATTAAATGCAAGTTGTAGTCACCTTGTGATTATTAGTGTTATCAACACACGTTCACAGTTCTTGAAATAATGCATACCAAATCAGACATATTTGTTTTACACCCATGTAGAATGCTATCTTCTCATATTTAAGTGATTTTCATATGTAGAATATCCTTAATACTAAGTATAAATTCTGCATTAATAAAATTGTAGTTAATAACTGAAATATTATCAGGTAGTAGGTATAGAAAGAACATGTCCATATTTTAAATGAACCAACTATTACTCTTAGAAGAGCTACCACAAAAAGACATTAATTGGTAACAAAGCTCCCAAAGTATATAAATAAAAATGCCTACATTACATTTATGCTCAATATTTAACAGGATAAATTTATAGGTAGAAATAATGAAGTTTTAAACTAGCCCCAATGTGGGAACTTAAAAAAATTAAAATAAATAAAATTTCAATTGATTACTTATGAACTGCAGTTGGAATTTCAATCTTATTAATAAAGATCACCGAGACCATCTTATCAATATGCTGCAGATTTAAAAGCATTTACATGATTTTTCATATTGGGAATATTGACAGGGTCAACTGACATGATGGCTTTGGGCTATAAAAAACAATAACACATGAACAAGGGAGAACACCATTCCTCATTCTTAGTGTCGACTAGGTGGCATGTTATGGCAGTTTTCCTTCATGATGTAACACAGTGTTGTGGAGAAAATCAGAGGCAACAAGAATGTGTTCAGTTCAAGATATCAACTTGGCATCCTGGCGAAGCCAGTGCAGTCCCTGCCGGGTGTAACGAACTAGGTCTGTCATGATGCTTGCGTTAAAGATGAGAGGGCCCATTACTTTATCCAGTTCAGCAAAGAATTCTATAAAATGAAAAACACTCATTAAGTGATGTACACTGCTTTAAAATTTTTAGTCTAGACTATGAAATAGTATTCTTATGAAGTAAAAAAAACCCACACCCTCTTATACTAAAGTATTCTCCATGTCTTAGAACAAACCATATCATAGTCTCAAGTTATAAGTCACAAAATATTTAAATTAACTGTATGATTAGGAATTAAATGTTATGTAAGTAAGCAGAATTCTGCTGATGACCATTACAAATTGTTAATATGCAGTAAACAGTATTAAAATAGAGACCTAGTATCACAATGTACTATTATTACTCAAAAACAATCTCTATGTACTGTTTTAGTATAAGAAGCATGTTTCCCCATAAGAGTTAGATGCCCAGGCCAGGTTGCTCAATAGTTTAGAGTGGGGGCCCGAGCATCAAGGGTCTTAGATTCAATTCCCTGTGAAAGGCACATAACTGGATTGCAGAAGGCAACCAATCGATGTGTCTCTCTCACATTAATGTTTCTTTCTCCTCCCCTGTCCCCCCCTCTCCCTCCCTTCTAGACACACACTCTCTCTCTCTCTCTCTCAAAAAAAAAAAAAAAAAGAAAACAAAAAAAGATCAATGGGAAAAAATATCCTCGTGAAAGATTTAAAAATTAAATTTAAAAGAAATGCTAGAAATCTACTCATTTGTAGTCTCTTTCATCACAAAGTTTCTTACAATATACCTAAAAATCTAATACAAACATGCTTTCTTATAATATCCAATATGTATAAGATGGCTGGATGTGATTCTACTATTAATCATCCTAGAACAGAACATCCTGTTTTATTACTTTTATAGTATGAGCAACATTTAACATATTAGAACCATTTAGCTTAGTTTGTGTCACCAGTGTAGTGAAAGGTATTTTTAACCAAATTCAGTACATTCAATATGCTTGCTAAGCAATGGAGATTAGCAAATTGATTATCATTAACTCTAAACTAAATGATAAGCTAAAAATGCAGACCAGACACTGATTTAACTAAGCCATAAAAATTCCTTTTATCAATTCCACCCCTCAAAGTTTCTCCAGAGATCATCCTACCTTTTTGTTCTTTGGAAAGCTGCTCAGCTTGGTCCCAAATTTCTGTGGCATAGAGGAAATTAGATGTAACCTGAACATAGCTGGCTGCCATCTGGTGGATCCTGTGTGGAATGGTCACTGAAGAACCACTTGCTGAAGCACTACTGGCCCCAGAAGAATAATTTCCTGAATTGCCTGGCGACAGCTTTGGAGAAACAGGGGAAGGCATCCCGACAACTTTGCTACACACAAAGAAACAGGAAATTTATTCATATGGCTGCAGTGAACATGACAATATCAATGTAATATGGGCTTTTAGGAAGAGCCCATATGAAGGTTTTTAAAATTTAAAGATTCTTTCAAACTTGAAGGGTTTCCAGAGAAGTACAATATCTTTTAAATAAGTACTTCACTCACTAAAGACCACTGTGAATTATCATTTTATCTGGATGCATTGTTTTAATAAATGGCAACAGAACAAGAATTGGGAAAGAAATGCTAGTACTGTAATTTGTAAGTTAGATTGCCTCACTCCCAATCCAACACTTTTGATGGGCATATATATTTAAGTACTTTTCAAACTGTTTTGTGAAAAGTTGGGTGGAATTAATAATTTAGCACCAAAAAAAATTTGTGGTAGTACATGGGAACATTTTATTTTTAATTCCATAATTTCTGCTACTTTTGTAGGTTAACCAAGTTACTTAGAGCTGACAAAGAGATACAGCTTTCCCAATCAACTGTAATCATATCAGGCTTCTGTCGATTAAATATTTTTAAAAACACACGTTGAAAGCTGGCAGGTTCATTTCAGTACTAAAATTTGTGGAAATGCCCAAGATCATAAAAAAAGAAAAGAAAAATCAAACAAAAGTTGGGGCTGGTAGGGGGAGATCTATTTGTTAAGAATATTTTTATGTAGTCCTGGTGTGGCTCAGTGGGTTGAACTTCCCCCTGTAAACCAACAGGTTGTGGTTCAATTCCCAATTCAGGGAACATATTTGGGTTGTGGGTTCATTCCCTGATTGGTGCACACTCCACATACAAGACAACAGATAGATGTTTCTCACATTGATTCTCTCAGATTGATGTTTCTCTCTCTCAAATAAATAAAAACATATCCTCAGGTGAGAATTTTTAAAAATTGTTTTTAAAAAGAGCAAAATTTTTATCTGCACTTTTGGCACTATAATTTGGTTAAGAAAATACTTAAGGGCAGAGACAAAATGTCAATTAACATAAACATACTAAGTGAATAAACTTATCAAAAAAGATGATTTATGCATTTTTCCTCCTTTTTAGGGGGTAGGTGGGGGGGTAAAGTGATGTGGAGATAGAAGAGAAAACACAACTATGCTTCAATTATTAAATTCTGACAGTGTCAAAACTTTAGTAAAGATAAAACCACTGTGATAAAAACCCAAGAAGCTACAGAAATCAACCTGTGAGAAGAATTAAAGTGCTATAAAAAACCCTCAGATTTCTGCAGGTGAAATGTCCCCTCCTTTCTAATCTTTGTAAGATTATGTTCATTATCCTATTTCAATTTATAAAAAGATAAAATATTTAAAAATACTTAATTAGAGATAATTCTCATTTTTTAAAAGGTTGTTATCTTACCATTTTTGGAAATTAGTCCCTAAACATTCCACTTTTATGTAAAAATAAACTTGTCACAAATAATATTTTATAGAATAAAATTGACCTACCTTCCCAAGCCGGGTGATGGTGCTTGAGAATTATTATAAGAATTCTGTGGAGAAAATAAAATGTAATTAACAAAAATCAAACAACAACAACACTACTTATGAAGTACTAAATATATTCAAAAGCACTGGGCCAGAGCTGATCTTAAGAAGCCTTGTAAATTAATCAAAATATGTGTGTGTGTGTGTGCACGTGTGTGCACGTGTGTGCACATTTCAAAGTTATAGTTAAGAGCTGGGGTTTTCTGGAGGACTTAGGTGAGACACAAAGAACGAGTAACACTCAGACTGATAAAGAAGAAGTAAGAAGGGAGTCATTACATATACAAAGGCTGTAGAAAAGAGAATATATGAGACCATAAAGTTAGCCTGAAGCACAGGTTTAGATGAGGAACAAGAAAGAGAAAGATCTTGAGGACCTTATAGGTCAGGGTAAGAAACTTGGCTTGATTTTGTAGGCAATGGTAAGCTTCTGAAGGATTCCAAATCATTATTAGGGCAGGATCTGAGGAAGATTTATGTGTTGCTATTAAAGGAACAAAAAGAAAGACATTTTAGAAAACTATAAGTCATCTAAGGAAAGATGGTAGTAAAAACAAGAGACCATTTTTACAAGTATAAATTAGGTTTCACAATAAAAATAGCCTACGTTTAGTGAAATGTTAAGAGCTACTGAATATTACTACATAGGTTCTACAATCAGATATATGTGCATTTAAAAACTTACAAGAAACCTCAAACTTATTTGAAAGTTCCCAAAAAGCTCCTCTCTCGCCATGGCAGGTAAAACTTCTAGAGTGGGAATAGAAGACTATAAATTTTGTCTCCCAGCAAATGGACCCTCCTCTTTGGCACACTTACCTTCAGGTGCTCTGTCAATGTCTTTGAGTATTTCAAAGCATTTTCCTTCTTCAGTTTGAATAGCCTCAGGTACAGCAGAGACTGGCATCTCAGGCTAATCAATGGGGAAAAAAAGGGCAGCTTATTCATAGGACAAAACACTCTGGCCTCATCTGTACAAGCTTTGAATCGTGCAAGAGTACAGAATTGGCTCATGTGAGCAGACCAAAGCATAAGGTCAACGGCACTAACTCTTAGGCAAAAACAAAGGATGGCTTTAACACATGCCCTAAAGAGGAGAAGAAGGGACAGATACCTAGGACTAGTTTCCCATCTGTTGACATTTAAAAATTAAAACCTCACCCACAGGACCAACATGTCATTGTAACATATGCACTTAAAAACTGAGGGGTAGACTCTATAGATCAAATTATAAGTAATCTAAAATTAAACAACAAAACTAGGAAACTTAACTATAAATATTATAACTTTGAGGAAATATATATAGGCCTTAACATGGCTTCAGTCATTTTCACTTGTACTGGTCTTTTTTGTTTGTTAATCCTCACCCAAGGATATTTTTCCATTGATTTTTAGAGAGTAAAAGGGAGGAGGAGAGACAGAAAGAGAGAAATGTTAATGTGAGAGAATCATATCAATTGGTTGCCTCCCACATGTACCTTGACAAAGGAATCGAGCCTGCAACCAAGGTATATGCCCTTGATTAGAATCAAATGCAGGATCCTTCAGTTGTGGGCCTACGTCTATCCACTGAGTGAAACCAGCTAGGGCTCACTGGCCTTCTTTTGATTCTTCTATAGTTTCCAGTTTCTTTCTACTATTCAGCCCTTACAGATGTTCCTTCAACCTAAAGACTAAGTTTCCCTATACTCTACTCTTACCATTACTTATACTTTTCTTTCAAACTACTTAATTCAAATACTTGTGATTATTTGATTAATATCTGTTTCCTCACACTAGACACTATGACAAACAGGACCATGTCAGTTCTACACACAGCTATATGCCCAGCTGTTGAACATAGTGCCAGGTAAATAACTGTAACAAATGAACTGCTACATATCCCTGAAATACAAGCAAACAAACCACATTCTTTATTCTGAGAAAACGAAACATTTACTTCCCAAGGAAAGGTATTATATGAATGGAGAGAGAAGATACAAAAAAAAAAAAAAAAAAGAAGAGCCTGGAAAAGTAATCATTTAAGACAATTAGAGTTCTTATTAATACCACTTTCCCAAGACTTTTGTCAAAAGGGCAATGGATCAGAGACCAACAACTATTAAAATTTTTCAATTTAAATTTTGAGTTATTTTCTACTTTACCCTTCAAGAATAGATTTATAAATGGGTTATGGAATGTTGATTCAAGAATAACTTTCAGAAGCACATACACAGTACAATTTAGTAGGGAACTACCTGACATTTAGCAGAAGTTAGAATACACAACACTTACCAAAGTACTGTAAGTCTTTTATCTGCAGCTGTAGCATCTGGTGCTAAGTAATTCTTTAGCTTCATAGTGTATCTGTGAGTTAAAATAACAAATGACACAATATTTTAACTTAATCTTCTGACTACCTTAGTCCTTAAAACATTAAAATCTAATCTACATAAAGGCAAAAATACTCACAGAAGTATCTAATTCTCCTTATCCAAGGACAATACAGGATTAAACATACTCCTCAGCTCTATTATATAGAGTCATGCTGCTTAACGACAGGGATATGTTCATCATGTGGGAACACGACAGTGCTCACTTACACACACCTAGATGGTATAGCCTACTACTGACCTAGGCTACATGGTACAGCCTATTGTTCCTAGACTACAAGCCTGTACAGTATGTTACTGTACAAAACAACACAAGATTAAGTCAAGTGCCAAGAGAAAACGATGCAATCAAAAGATGGGGTAAACGTAAGATATTTAAGCTACAGCCAGTATAACACAGCATACTATTTGTTTTACAGGAAATTTTTTTTTTTATGTAAGTAGAAAGAGTATACTTTAAAATAACGATAAGAAGTAAACACATAAACCAGTAACAGTGCCTTCATTAAGTAACATATACATGGTATACTTTTATACGAGGCAGGCAAGTGCAGTAGGATTGCTTACACCAGCATCACTATAAACAAATAAGACATTGTGCTGTGACATTATCACCGATCCACAATGCTAGGTGATAGAAAATTTTCAGTCCCATTATAGTCTTATGGGACCATCATACATGTGGTCCTATCATTGACCAAAACATTGTTATGCAGTGCATAACTGTATAGTTATATCAACCGCTTCCTAGATAGACCAGAGAAATAATATTGTCAATGATATGGCAAGTTTTCCCACTTACTTGATGAGCTCCACTGTCTCTGAATACATAGGAAATGGGGATTTGGATTCCTGAGCATTTTTCTCTAATGCATTTCCACATTCAATGAAAGAAACCACAGCATCAAGATAGTACACAGCTTTCTCAAACCTGTCAGACTGAAGAAAGGAGAAAAAAATAACGAGAGCTGCACTGACGTGGGATGGAAACAAACAAGTGAAGATTTAATTAATCTAAATATATAAATATGAAAAGAATATTTACATACCAATGCATCTGCATTGTGCTTTAACTTTTTTGCTTCTTGTAAATAATGGTCTGCTGAATAACTTCTGCAATGTAAATTTTTATTGTAAATAATGTAGTAAATATTTTTCATAAGATGACAATAGTTCATTTACATCTCTAGCATCTCTCAGTTTTCATGCCCTCAAAAAAATGAGCAATTACTAAAACATTTGACTCACTGTTTTCCTGATAAATGTTTACATTGAGCTAAGAGCATAAATAGTACTGGCCAACTCATGGCAAAACAGAAATCAAGCTCCCTAATATTAAATACTAACTTATCCAAGTCGTTTGAGAATTTTAGAGTAAATAAAAGAATAGGAGAAATCTCTTATCAAAATGCAGAGAAAAACCCAACATGATTCTTACATATTTGAGAACGTTCATATTAGCAGAAACAAGGTTCTACCTGAAGACACATCATTCACATTCCCAAAGAGAGTCATAGAATTAACTCAGAGGAACAATACTTGGGGCTAGTGGTGCCTTTCAAATTAAAAGCCAATTATTCTATAGATCACAGTATGAATTCTTCTAGTCAATGACAACTTAAAATGAATTTCTTATATTCTGACTAACATGATTTCTTGAATGCATAAAAAAAATCTTAATTTATCTCACCTGTCATCAAAGGTAAGCTTTGTTCTCCGAGACTTTGAAGCTTCAGGAGTTGGTGTAGATGTCGGACAGTTAGAGGAGCTATTTGAAGCCTTTTCCTGACAAAAAAATATATAACTATGTTTAAAATTGTGAAGAGATTAAAATTTAAATTTAAAAAATTTCCTTAAAAAAAAATAATGAATTTTAAAAATTTCCTGAGCCAACAGTAAAAAGAAAACAAAATTCCACTGATTTCAGTAATTAATTTCCTTGTTATAAAATTTTAAAATTTCAAATTATAACATCTTTTTTATAGATTGCATCCATTTTACATAATCAAAATTTTTCATTCTAATATTAGGGCTCTACTACGAGGCAGGCACTGACCTAGGCACATGTTAAAATAGCAGTACTACTTAAGACAAAATTTACCGGTAATTAGTGTCAATGAAAACAGTAATAAAAATATCTAACATTTCCTGTGTGCTTACTACTTACCAGCCACTAAGTTAACTTAGCACAGTCATTAATCCTTCAATCCTATGAAATACATACTACTATTAGAACAGAGTAAAAAGCTGTCTCAAGGAAGTCAAGTACTTGCCCAAAGTTCAAACTGATTTACTAGTAAGTGGCATTCTTGGAATTTGAGTTTTCAATCCAAATCTGACAAATCTGTCAGATTTTAAAAGCCTAGCCACTTTCTCAAACTTTATTCTGCTTCCTATCAATATAACTCTCTATGCCAGGGCTATGACTGCTTCCCCATCCAGCCCTATCTTTAATAAAATGAATATATACTTTCCACAATAAAACATCATAACAAAGGAGAGTTTATCCTACGAATATGTTTTAACATCAGAAAATCCAGTAATAAATAATTATTTCAACTGGTACTTAAAATTGATTTAACATGAATCTTATAATCATTTTCTTTCTTTCTTTATATAAGAACTTTTTAGTTCCACCCATTACAGCTTACTTCAAGAATAAAAGTACTGAGATTTGACAAAATACTAAGCTCTTTATGGTAAAGTTTACATGTTTATGAAATGGCTTCCTAAATACTGTATTGCAATGTAATATTACTAAGACAGCTTGTAGATTTATAGTGTCTAGCTTTAGATTTATTGAAAAACTGAAGTTTCTGAAAATTAAAAATATGTTTTTCCAGATAGTTCAATACTTTCTTATATAAAAATTATTATGTGTGTAATATATAAAATCACTGTGTGGTGATAGGTATTAAGTAGACTTAACTGTAGTGATCATTTCACAAAATATACATATATCAAATAATCATCTAAAACTGATATAATATTATGTATAAAGTATATCTAAATTTTAAAAAGTGATAAACTATAAGAAATAGACAAATCTTATATATTTGTAGAAATAACAGGAGAAGTGAAACACAATTCTCTCAGTAAACAATAATAGAACTGGTAAAATATCGATCAGCATAGAAAAGGTTTAAAAACACGATTAACCTAATTAAATTATATAGATCCCTGCCAATATGATTCTTTTTAAGCAAATATGTAGTATTAGAAAAATCTTCCATATACTTCAAAAATATAAAACAAGTCTTAACAAATTTTAAGATTGCCACCATGAAGATTACTCTCCAGTTCCAATGCAATTAAGGTAGGACTAACCAAAAGATAACTAGAAAATCTCTGTATGTTTGGAAATTGAGTAAGTAACTCTTTGACCTAAGAAGAAATCACAATAGAAATTAGGAAACATTTTAAATTATGTTATAAAAACATTACATACCAAAACTTGTGCAATGCAGCTAAAACAGTATTTAAAGAGAAATATACCCTGAGTGGCCAGATTATTATGATTTCTGAACTCATAATAATCTGGCCACTCTGTGTGTGTGTGTGTGTACACACACATATATATCTGTTTATGAATTCATGCATGGGTGGGATCCACCCAACCTGGCCAGGGGAGGGACATGGGCGGTTGGCTGGCCTCCCTGCTGGTCAAATTCCTGGTCGAGGAGACAATTTGCATATTAGCCTTTTATTATGTAAGATATACACTGAGTGGCTAGATTATTATGCGTTCAGAGATTATAATAATCTGACCACTCAGTGTATAGTATAACTGCTCATATTAGGGAGGGGGAAAGCTTAAAATTAATTTAGAAAGTAATGAAATATTCATCTCTTAAAGTTAGTAAAAAGAATAATAAAACAAAAAGAATAAGAAAGGAAATTATATAGATAAAAGTATGGCCCGGTCAGTGTGACTCAGTGGTTGAGCACTGACCCATGAACCAAGAAGTCCCTGGTTTGATTTCTGGTCAGGGCACAGGCCAGATTACAGTCTCGATCCCCAATGGGGGGGCCTGCGAGAAGCAATCAATGTTTCTCTCTCATCAATGTTTCTATACCTCTTTCCCTCTTCCTTCCTCTCTCTCTAAAATCAATTTTTAAAAAAGAGTATAAATTAATGAAATAGAAAACAAAATAAATTACAGAGAATCAACAAAAACAAAGACTGTTGTTTTTTTTTAAAGACAAGTAAAATTGATTAGCTTCTGATGAGACTGATCAAGGGAAAAAGAGAGAAGGCACACAGCTAATATTAAGAGCATAAGAGGAACAAAAGTAGAGATGTTACAGATATTAAAAACACAGGGAGACACTACTGAATAGCTATATGTCATTTAAAAAAATTGATATGAGCAAAAATCTAGAAAAAACATAAAATAAAAATTATATGAAATTTTGGGTTGTCATTAATTTTTCTTTAGTTGATATAAGAAATAGCATGTTTTCTAAATAAAGATTTTTCTTTCATAAACCCATACGTAATTGTTTAAACTAGAAATTGTTAAGACTAACAGTAACTTTAACAACTGCCATAAGATCTTGAAATTAAAGTGATCAGGGCCTCTATTTTATAGTTTGTCAAATATGCACATTTTGTTTTGTTTTTATAAGGGGTTATAGCTTTTATTTTTAGTTTTTTTATTCTCTAAAGTTTTACATATGCCTTCTCTCCCCTCCCCCCCATTGCCCCTTCCAGCCATTCCCACCCCAAATATCCACATTTGATCCAACAAATATTTCTTGATTACCCAATAAATTCAACACTAGATTAAAAAACAAATAAACAAGATACAAATCTCTGCTTTTAAGAAGCTAATGAACCAATAAGGAAGAGATACAGGCAGCTAAGTTTTATCTATGAGATTAACAGAAGCCAAATGAGCAAGCAAGCTTATTGAATAAGTACAAAAAAAAAAAAAAAAAAAAAAAAAAGACAATAGGTTTCACAAAATAAGCATATAGGCCTCAAAATCCTACAATAAAAGGAGAAGAAATGAAGAAAGAGCCAAAAAGCAGGTTAGTAGAGATCTGGAGCAGTGAAGGAAGCCAACAGGACACTCAGGTTCCAGAGAATACTAGGACTAACTCTAAACCACTACAGAAAGGTGTCCAGCCAGAGAAAAGGCCTTCTGTAAATTTCCATTTGAAACACTTGGTTCACAATTTAAATTACTTCAATTTAAAAGACTTAATTACCACATTTAATGAACAGGACTAACTGCCTTCATCTAATTTTTCAACTCTCAAACCTTTGCTACTTAAGTTACAAATAATACAGTGAATTATATTCTTAAAAATATAGGTATTTTCTTAATTTTGTCATAGAGTTTGCTCCTGGATCAGAACAATTTAGAAAGCAATGCAAATAAAGATTTTTATTTATTTGCATTGAGGGTGATAGATCAAGAAGCTTTTTGTCAAAACTGCATTAATTTCCATCCACATACATTAAGAATATTCCCCTACATATGATCATGCTTTAGAAATAATTCCGTGTTAGCTCAGTTAAAGAATTTTCTTCTTCACAAATCAAAACCAAATGGTTGCTTTGTAATTTTATGTAATATAACTTGCTTATGAAATCCAATTTTTAAAAACTTGAAGCCAATTTCAAACCATAGAGAAGCAACTGGAACTATTTTTAATTCGATCATAATCAACTGTTTTCCCACAACCAACTCTTCCAATTATGGTTTTCTATCTTAATTATTAGGCATGTAGCCAGCTGACTTGCTGCTTTCATGGTCATAGATCACTGCATTAGTTTATTATCAAGAACATGACATTCTAAGATTAAAAATGCACAGATCTATAAATTTAATGAGATGTGTACAAAATTTTCAAAGTACAGCATCAACTCGGAGAAGTCACATGCAATGAAATTGATTTTCAAGACTAAGGCCCCCAGTGTCTTACCTTGGCCTCCTTAGAGCTACTGGAAGTCTTCCCTTCAGTTCTCTTCTGCTTTGACGTGGAGGAATTGTTTTTGCTGTTGCCACTATTCTCCTTGTTGCTGTTATTACTTGACTTTAGGGAAGAAGACTGACTAATGGTCCTCTTTCGAGAGCCATGCTCCGTTTTTGGATCTTTTGCAGGAACAGGCCCAGCAGGAGAAGGCAACAAATCTTTTTCTTTTGCCACACTCTGTTTAGATGACCTGCCAAAACCAAACAAATGCCTCGTTTCTCCACACAGTCATAAGGGCAACAGGGTTTTTTCATTTCTCTTTGCTTTTAAGACAAATTTGCTGTTACCTATGAGAGAACTAGGACATATGGTTTTTGCAAAACAAATCTGTAAATTTCATGCGTGCGTGCATCTTGTCTGGCTTTTCCCTGCCATGGTTATATACCAACTAGAGGCCCGGTGCATGCAGTTTGTGCTGGGGGTGGGGGAGATTCCCTCAGCCCAGCCTACACCCTCTCCAATCCGGGACCCCTCAGGGGATGACTGTCTACTGGTTTAGCAGTCGGGACATCCCTCTCACAATCCTGGACCACTGGCTCTTAATTGCTTATCTGCCTGCCTACCTGGTTACCCCTAGTTGCTCCCCACTTGCAGGCCTGGTTCTCCCTAATTGCCCCCCCTGCTGGCCTGGTCACCCCTAACTGCCCTTCCCTGCTGACCAGGTCACCCCTTACTGCCCCCACCCCCCCCCCTGCCAGCCTGATTACCCCCAACTTCTCCTCCACCAACCTAATTGCCCTCAACTGCACACTCCCCCTCCCCCCGCAGGACTGGTCTGGTTGCACCTAACTGCCACACTCCCCCGCCAGCCTGATCACCTCTTACTGTCCCCTTTGGCAGCCTGGTTGCTCCCAACTGCCCTCCTCTGCTGGCTTGGTCACCCCTAACTGCCCCCTCCCCCACCAGCCTGGTCGCCCCATGCAGCCTGCTGTTCAGTTGTTTGGTCGCCCCTCACTAACCCCCCTGCTGGCCTGGTCATAGTCAGCCATCTTGTCAGGGTGTGAGGGTTAATTTGCATATTACATCTTTATTAAATAGAAGGATGCTTAACCCTTGGCCTGTCATGCAATAAGTATTCAATAAATACTAGTTGAATAACAACAAAAAGATGGATGGTGAATGAAGATATTAATGCTCATGAATTACCAGTCTTTTGCAAGTTACAGATAAATTTATCTAGCCAGAAAGTTGTAAAACTTTACTTTCTTACTATACTCACCTCTAACTCCACTAAAAAAAAAAAAAAAAAGCAAAAGCAGAGAAAAAAGGTGAATAAACCTTTCCATCCCTGTTAGCTAAAAGCAAAAGCTCCCACTATTTGGTGTATATGTATACATGTATATGATATATACTTGCTAAAGGAACATTCTAAGAACATATTAGGAAGCCCAATAGCAAATTACATACATATATTAACACACATGTAACATGTTTTAGGGACATACTCTCTGTTGCTTGGTGGCTTGTGGCCTGCTAAATTCTTGTCCTCTGTTTTGGGTTTCTTGCTGTCATTGGCTCGGTTATCATCTTCATTCTAGATGAAAACAGAAAGCTGCTAGGTTTGAACTTTATAGATTCCAGAACTAGTCACCCCCAAACAGTTTATCCCTGAAAAACTTCCCCGTAAGAGGACAAATGTAAAGTAAAGTAATTCATTTAAATAATGTTTAGTGAAGTAGGTTTTAAGGTTCAGTAGTAATCTCCTATTTTATATAAACAGAGCCCAAATATTAAAACAAATTTCCTGTAGTCTTTTGGGAGCAGGGTGTGTGAAATTAAAATTAAGATACAATTCACATACCATAAAATTCAATCTTTAAAAGCACACAATTCAATGGCTTTTAGTATATTCACAGAGCAACAACCAATTTTAAACCATTTTCATCATCTTAAAAAAGTCACCCTGTACTCATTAGAAGTCACTCCCTATTGTCTACACCTCCAGACACTAGCAATCATTAATCTATATATTTTGTCTTTATAAATTTGCATATTTAAACAGTTCATGTAAATGAAATCATAAATTGGTGCCATTTTGTATCTGGCTCCCTTAGCATAACATTTTATTTATTTTAAAATATATTTTTATTGATTTCAGAGAAGGGAAAGAGAGGGAGAAATAGAAACATCAATGATGAGAGAAAATAATAATTGATCAGCTGCCTTCACCACAGCCCTACAGGACCAGGGCTGACTTACAAGTATTGATATAGAAAACTTGGGAGGAAATTATAAAAGTGAAGTTTAATGGAGGGGAGGAGATAAGGGGTACTCCTTTTAGAGGAAGGGGATATTTTCTTGTAAATAATATAGTTTTAAGCAAAAGAGTAAAAAAGGCTGATATGGCTCAGTTGACTGAGTGTCTTCCCATGCGCTAAAGGTTTCCAGTTCATTCCATTCCTTGTCTGGGCACATACCCAGGTTTTGGGTTTAGTCTAAGGTGACCAGATATCCCGCTTTTGGCGGGAGAGTCCAGATTTTTAACCATTTGTTCCGCAGCATTTTAAAACTGAAAATTTCCTCATGAGAACTGAAAAGATTAGGCTGTTTTTCTCAAAGAACCTCCATTATATAGGTAAGTTGTTAAGCTCTTCCCATTATATGTCTATTATCCTCCAATCATAGATACTATAAGTTTCCACATTTCCTGGATCTAAAAAAAGCTGACCTTAACTATATACACCTAGCCTCATTTCTAAATCCAAATTATCTTGGAAGTATTTAGAGAGCTATATGCCAGCAGATGTTTTTAGTTCTGAATTTGCAGATATGGGTGTTTGAAAAGGGAAAAGAGCTGGGCCGAGTTACATACAGTGGATTGGTGAAATTCTTAAGGATGTGTCAAAACCGGTAAGGCAATGTTTTAGCTGGAATTAGTAATTTAAAAGATACAACTTGGTCTGCGTATAAGAGAGAAGTGTGACAACCTAGAGAATACATATCCCAACTAAAGACATTTCAAACCAAAATTTGAAGGACCCTGTGAAGGCCAGTTTGCAATCTCTGCTTCACTCTCACCTCTACACTGGCCAGCACACTCTGGGCTGGTTCATTTCTGTCCTAATCGGAAACTATGCTGCTTTACAAAAGGAGACGGGCAGAGGCACAGTGGTCTTTGGAGGACTGTTCTACCTGTGGCCTCAACTGAGCCTTGGGTTACCCTCTATTTCTCTCAGAGCTATGCTCAACTAGTTATTTTTGGCTGAGGTTTCCACTGCATATCAGATTCCGATGTTGAAAAACAAAAACAACAAACTCTTTACAAACCTTATGCTTCCTCTTGCCTTTATTGGAAACTTTTTCTGAGGCTTGTTTCTGAGCCTCTCTTGTGTGCTTCTCCGGCACATTTTTCTTTTCCCCCTTCGGTGGCTCTGTTTCTTTGTAAGGCTTTCCTGGTATTCTAGTCAAGAGATTCAGGTCAATCTTCACAATGAGTGGATACCTATCATCAGGCTCACTAAGGGGTGAAAGAAGTTCCTTCTCTTCCATAGGAGAGAACATTCGTTGCCGGAAAAAGCTATCTTCTTCCTCCACTGAGGAGGGTTTAACGGGAGTCCTATTACTCTCAGGGTACTTAGGAGTTTGTGAGGAAGGAGGAAGGCTCTCGCTTTCATCCGAATCTGAGGATGAGGTATCTGTTTCTATGATTTCCCTTGATTTCTGGGAAGATTTACTAGTTGACTTGTATTTCTTTTTCTCTGCTGAAGGGCGAGGGGAAGATTTGGACTCCTTTTTTATATTGGGTTTCCTGGAGCCTTTGGTGGCTGCTTTGTGTCTGCTGGAGGGCATGCTAGTAGCCATGTCCACGGGGGTTTCGCTTTCTATCTTCAAACCTCCTCGAGGTTCTTCAGCAGCTGTCTTCTCGGTCTTTTTGGGTTGTTTTTTGCCTACAGTTCTCCTCTGTGTTGTACTGTCACTCTGTGCGGGAGACTTCTGCCTCCCACGCCCACTTTCTGATCCCTTTTGAGCAGTTTTGGAATCTCTTCCAGGAGTAGCGGAACTTGTTTCTTTAGGTCCACTTGGGTCAGTGTAGCTATTCCCAGTCCCCTGTTCTCGGCCTTCCTTTTTATAGCCTTGAGATGATGGGATGTTACTGTCCACAGAAGAAGCTGGTGACACTTTATGTGGGTTCACTTTATTCAACCAATTATCAAGTTGCCATTTGTTTGTTGGTGGTGGTTCAGGCTGAAAAACAGAGAAATAAGTATGCTTTTTTCTATACTGAAGCTTTCCCTCCTTTACAATCTCAAGAAGAGGAAAAACACTATGGCTAATGCCTCAAAGATTATTTGTTTTTTCATAGTTCTGTGTGAACCAAGGCAAAGGGCTGGATATTGACTATCACATCTAATCACCTGAATGAGAAGATATAAGCTGAATTACATACATAGCCTTTAAATACTAAGTATTCCTATCAGGAATCCATCTTTAAATGCAAAATTTTAAAAGACCATATAATAACCAGAAAGTAAACAAATGATGTAGGTACCAACAGAGATTTTAAATCACATTTTATCAACCTACAGTTGATAGCCATATACTATCAACCTATAGTATAGTCTTATACTGTAAGACTTTTTATCTACAATGACTACATAATAGAAATTAACATGTGAAGACACAAAAATAAAGACCAAACAACAAAAAAACACACAATATTTTCATGACCTGAAATTTGACCTCAAGTAGATCATAACTAGACCAAATGTTTATTCAAATAACAATAAAACTGAAGTACTAAGTTTTCCTACAAGATAGTTCAATTTCTTTTTGTCAGAATATATAACTTTCTTTCCTTCATCTTTTATATTTGAGTCAGGTTTCAACAGGCATCACCAGGGGCCTTAAAAGGGCCTACGGAAGGTACCCCTGCCTCCCTCTCACCTCAGGAGATGCACTCTGAGATGGCTCATTTGCCTCACTGTCACTGGAACTACTTTCACTCTCTGAGTCAGATCCAGAGCTGCTTTCAGATCCACTGTGGCTGCTAGAATCATCCCTGGAGTTATCTGCTCCTTCACTATTATGGTGTGAAGGTTCAGAGTTACTAAAAGAGATAAAACATATAAATGACCAAACGTTTCTTTTCTTTTTTACATGACAACAGGAAAACATTCAAATCTAGCAACTAATTTTAAGAAACAAAAGAATGCCTACCTTCCTGGTGTACTTCTTGGCATTGTCTTGTCACAATCCTAAAATTAAAACATGAGAAGAAATCCATCTATTTAATGTGAACAATATGTGAACGTTTCATTAAAAAAACAGGTTTCTCTAATATATGCATCAATGTTTACTTAACATAACATACTGTTTTAAACTAAAAATAACTAATTGCCAGGATGAGAGGAAAAGCTTTGTTAATAGTTCTTGTCAACAATCTCATACTTCATGAGTATATTCTGATCCCTGATAAGTATTAAGAAAAAGCCAATTTTCTGTCCTGCCCGGGTGGTTCCGTTAGCTGGAACACGTTTTCACACACCAAAATGTTTCAGGCTTGATTCCCGGTCAGAGCACATGCCTAGATTTCAGGTTCGATTCCAGGTTTGGGAGCATATGGGGAGGCAATGGATGGATGCTTCTCTTTCTAAAATCAATAAAAATATGTCCTTGGGTGAGAATAAAAAAAAATTTTTTTTATTTAATGGAGGTGTAAAGGCAGAGCAGAAAAGTACAAATTTCCAATGTTGGAAAGCAGGAATTAACTTATTTTTAAATAACTGGATCATAAATGTATTTTCAATTAGAATTCTTATTAAAAAAAAATAATGAAAACAAATACTGTATAAGAATGGCAAAGTCATGTAGTAGTAGACACACCTGTTCCCCATCACTGTCTTCACTGCTGCTTAGCTTTAAGTCATCTTTTAACATACTAGAGGGAAAAGGCAGAAGGGTTATTAATTTTGGTACAGTTTATCATGGAATACCAGAGTATTAAATATCTACTAAGAATTCTACAAATAATCACTGTGATAGCCAAATAGTCAATTGAAAAACAAAGAAAAGAATTAGTAAGTCTTATTCTGTCTGTTACTCTGTTCATATTCAGAGTAACAATTGAGAAATAAGTAATTTAAAATTTCAGAAACTCCAACTTTTCCATAAGTAATATATTCATTTTTCTTTTCTAATTAAACAAAAGCCACCTTCTAGAAACTCATACTCATTTTTGTTATCTTTAATTTTTCTCTAATTGCATATACACATTAACTATTAAAAAAATTATCATATTCATACCCAACAGTCCACTGAGAGAGATAGCTACTAAAAAGAAAGATAAAATAAAAGCACCAGCAATTCTCTTTCATTGTCCCTAATGTTCTATAAAGAGATCTGTACAATTAAATAATTGTGTAAACCAGAACACAAAAGTCAAAGTTGTAGTTCACTATGAAAGATGAGTGTCCTGTATGGAAGTAACGATTATGGGTAAGAAACTTTACTATACCATAAAAATGACCATGTATATGTTAAAAATAAATTCTAGGTTCCAAATCTTCCTTGATCAAAATTTAAATAAATTCAGAAAACAAAAAGATATTTTTCTTAAAGCCATAAACATCAAAATTAAATTTAAAAACTGAGCCCAGCTACCATAGCTCTGTGGTTGGGTGTCTACCTATAAACCAGGTCACGGTTTGATTCCCAGTCAGGGCACAAGCCCGGGTTGCAGGCTCGATCCCCAGTGTGAGGCATGCAAGAGGCAGCTGATCATTGATGTTTCTCTCTCTCTCTCCCTCTCTCTTCCTCTCTGAAATCAATGTTAAAAAAAAATTAAAACTTGAGTAACAGACCATAGAAAACTCCTTGTCTTTTTATAGAAGAGGAAAAAATAATACAAAGATTAGGGAGAACTACAACTGGAAAATTTTAATTTCTCATTAGTAGTAGTTCCATTACTTTTCTTTTAAATTTTCATGATAGTCTCCAATCAGTGGGAGAAATTTTTTTTACTCTAATAACTACTTACACTATCCACTCAAAGCTTAACATGAGTTTCTAAATCTGATCCCAAATTCTGATTATCACATACAAAAATGACATAGAAACAAAGTAACCAAATGATAATAGAATTAAGTGTTTTAAGGCTGGCTCAATTAACTGGGACAGAAAAAAAGTTTTCTTTTGGACAAGAGCTTAGTGCATTTCTATGACCGATTTCCTATAAGCAAATAACTTACTTTGAATTCCCCCCAGCCTTTATGATTTAATAATGCAGCTCAATGAACCTATTCACATGTGAATATGCTAAAGCTTTTACCAGTCTACTCAATGTCTTGCTTGCTTTTTCCCTCAGTAACCAAAGTGACATGCACATATATGGTAAGCCCCCATTAGTTCTTTGCATATGAAAAGATATGATAAATAGGAATATAATTTGAATTCAGCAGTGAAGTAGGACTGGTTGCATTTATATATTTTCATTCTCACTCAGGTCTCATTTATGGTCGTCTAAAGAGGGTGAGATTATTAGTATTAGATTGTAGTTATGGCATAAAGCTGACACTATTTCTGGCCACAGTTTCTTTAGAACTTTCTTTTATTCACGCAAATGACTTGTGGTCTCAGAAGTTGAGGAGTTCATTATTTTTCAAAAAATTTAAATTCTTTATTGTTTAAAGTACTACATAAGTCACCCTTTCCCCCCATTGACCTCTCCTCAGCCACTCCCACCCTCTAGCACATGCCCTCACTTCCCTACTATCTGTGTCCACTGAAGGAGTTAATTCTGGAATTTATTATCATTTGATATACTACCCTATTAAATTTTGATGTTTTCTCCAGGTTCTGCCTACAAAATGAAAGTAGGGAAACTTAACAATACCAACTACGTTGTTTTAATATGCTACATTTAGAGGTTAAATGGAGGGACTACTAAAAAGAATCCTTTCTTTTTTAGTGTCTTCTTTATTAAAAACAAATGATCAGCACACACTCAGCACAAATACATCCCTAAGAGATAGAAATAAAACCTGTAATCTCAGAGCAGAGGTAAGCAAACTATGACCCACAATATTTATAAAGAAAGTTTTATGGAATGCAGCCATGGACTACGTTCATCGGTACCCATGATTTATGGCAGCTTTCATGCTATGATGGCAGAGCTGAATAGCTGAGATGGAGACCATCTGGATCTTAAAACTTAAACGCCTAATTATTTCACTCTCTGGCCCTTTACATAAAAGTTTGCCGACCTCTGCCTTAAAAGATTAAGTACATATTTCTAAGTGTTGTTCTAAATATCCAGATACTACATGTAGACATTTAGAAAAAAAGACAAACATTAATTAAGCAATAAACTTACGATTTAGACTGATGCCCATTTGAGGTTTTAGAAGAAGGATTATATCTTTCTAGAATAAAAAGAAGGCAGAAATCAGCAACTAAACTAGGACTATATAGATTGTAAAATATCAAAATACCTTCAAGGAAATATAAATCAAAATGACAAGATATAATTCTTCATTCATCAAATTTGTGACATTTTAAAGTCCAATAATATTAGATACTAGTGGAAATAGACATGCTCATATACTGTTGGTAGAACTATAAACTCATGCAATCTTTTTGGAGGGCAATCTGATAATATCTAGTCAATACTGTTAAATGCACATGTCCACTGACTTAGCAATTATGATAAAAGAAATTTACCTTACACGTATATCTGGAGGAATACATAAATATAAACACACACATGGATGTTTATTATAATATAGTTTGTAACAGCAAAATCTGGAAACAAATGTCCCTCAAGAAGGGACTAAATAAATTATGGTACTTTTATACAATATAAACACAATTTTAATGCTAAGAAGAATGAACTAGAGCTTTATACTAATACAAAAATAGCTATAAAATAAATTAAGTGAATAACACAGGTAATAAAGAGTAGGTGCAGCTTATGATTCCATTTGCCAATAGTTTTGGGGAGAGATAATGGGAGGTTTTTTTTTTGGGGGGGAGTACAACTAAGAATGAGATATTCTTAAAAGGTTTAAAGGAGAAAATGTAAATTCTCTGCTCTATTTTCTATATATTCACAATGTCAGGTCCCTTTTTCCTATAACTGCAGCTTTAATGCTGAAATAAGAAATAGATATATAAACTTTGTTAATATTAAAAGGGATAGTCATCTAGTTTCGATTTAAGATCACTAAAGGTAACACAGTAAGTATCAAAAGTTCCATATTTTTAGCTCTCAAAATAGCTTATTATTAGTATAAATCTATCTTAATTAAAAAGGAATTGCTCTTAACAAAGATAATCTTAGTTTTGTTACAGAACTATATAATGAAGCCTAGACATTTGCTAAGGTTGCTGACCTTATCTTAACCTTACCACCAGCCATCAGATCTTGGGCCATGCTTGAATTCCCTAAGGCTATCTTCCTCTCAAGGAGGTGGAGGGGGATTGTGTAGCAGACAGCAGACTTTCTTCCCAGACAAAAAGAATAAACAAAAATACAAATAGGAGAAGACCCATTGTAAGCTACAGTGACCCCATGGAATTTTGCTGTCATCGAACCAAGTATCTTCATAAGAAGATGGAAAGACAGAATGGCTCTTGTTTTTATAAGGTTTCAATCAAATTGAATTCATGAACTTTGTAGTTCGAGTACTTAATAATAAAGTTTTGATCTCCAATGATCCTTAATTCTTCATTTTTTAAGCATATCAAGATTCAGTTGAACCCATTACTAATCATCAGATGACAAAACTGGGATAAGATATGCAAAAAATTATTAAAGCAATATATACTGTGACCATGAGCAAGGAAAAGTTCAAGAAAACCAAAAGTAAAAGAAATACTCACTTTGTTCTCCAGGGCCAAAGTTGGACTGCTGAGTCTCCTATAATAAATGGGATATAAATTATATAGTAACATTATATGGAAAAGTTTTATTAGTAAAAAATGCTTCAAATTAAATTATTCAATTCCAGGTAATTCAATGAAAAAGTACGTTAATTCCCAAGAATACATAAAAGAAACACAAAAAAATTTAATGATTCCATCTGATCGGCCTCAGCAATTCCACAGTTAATAATGAACTTTCCCAGAGCTTAATACAAAAAGCATCCTAATAGTGTTTATCATTCATTTCTTTTCAGCACCATCCATAGAACTTGTATCCTAATTTAGAGGCCTGGAAAAGCAAATAATTTAAGATTCTTAAAAAAGTGTTTAATTCTTTTCTTTTTAAAAATTTAATACCAAGAGCTGTATACCAGGATAAATAGCTATACAACCTATATAATCTCAAAAAATACCACTTTTACAGACTAAAAAAACCCAAATGGTATTCCCATGTAATTTTTCTCCCTCTCTCTGCTTCCAGAATCTTATAATTAAAAACTTGAAGAAACTGTCATATACTTCTTTATATGCCCTATACCAATGGTCGGCAAACTGCGGCTCGAGAGCCACATGCAACTCACAAGCCACGGTTTGCAGCTCTGTTGACTAATGAGTTTGCCAACCACAGACCTAGACTCTCGATTCCAATAATTACAGGCTGTTGTTGTTCCTTGTGATTAAGCCCCTATCCCAGTGGTTGGCAAACTCATTAGCAGCAAACCTCAGCTCCCGAGCAGCATGTGGCTCGCGGGTCGCAGTTTGCCGACCACTGGTATAGGGCATAGAAAGACCCACACTCAGGTGCCCAGTACTCAGGAAGCACCAGTAAAAGGAAAGTCAAAATGTCATTATCGTTGAAACACGAGTTTCCAAACTCAACTTTTACAATCAGAATAGCTGTCTCACATGTGTAAATTGTCCATTTTTCTAGGTTAAGTCTGAAGTACACCATATAGTACTGAAATTACATAAACATCCCTAAATGCCTATTTAAAATAAGCACAATTGCCCAGCTAGAGTGGTTAGGTGGTTAAGCATCAATCTATGAACCAAGAGATCATAGTTCAATTGCTGGTTGAAGCACATAGGTTGTGGGCTCAATCCCCAGTAGGGGGCATGTAGGAGGCAGCCGATCAATGATTCTTATTATTGATGTTTCTCTCTCCACTTTCCTTTCTTTCTCTGAAATCAATAAAAACATATCTTTAAAAAAATTAATTAAATAAGCACAATCTTCCTTTAATGACATAATTATCTGTGAAAGAAAAATCCAAACTGTATGAAACTTAAAAATATAGTTTGCTATTAAAAAAAAAGTTATATTCAAGAAGGGTACCAAGACCACCTAATGGTGAAAGAAGAATCATTTCAACAAATGGTGTTGGGACAACTGAACAGTCATATGCAAAAGCATGAAGTAGGATGCTTACTTCAGATATTAAAAAAATTGAATCAAAGATCTAAATTTAAGCGCTAAAACTACAAAACTCTTAGAAGATAACATAGTGCCAAATCTTAATGACTTTAGATTTGACAAAGAATTCTTACATATAATACCAAAAGCACAGGACACAAAACAAACAGATAAATTAGACTTCATCAAAATTAAGGACTTTTGTGCTTTAAAAGACACTATCAAGAAAGTGTAAGACAACCCACAGAATGGGAAGAAAATATTTCCAAATTATATTATCTGATGAGACTGATATCTACAATATATAAAGAGCTCTTACAACTTAATGGTAAAAATACAAATAATGGTAAAAATATAAATAATTTAACTCTCTTGGGTCCTCACTTCCAAGATAACTAAGAATAGAAGGAACAATAATCATGCCAAAAAAGGCCACAGGCATGTGCAGCCTATTCATGGCACTAACTGCACTGATACATGCCTAAGGATCAGGCCATTACGAAGTTCCTCATTCAGTTAGGATGACTCAGTGGTTGAGAATCAACCTATGAAACAAGAGGACATGGTTTGATTCCCAGTCAGGCCATATGCCCGAGTTGTGGGCTCGATCCCCAGTGTGGGGTGTGCAGGAGGCAGATTATCAATGATTATCTAACATTGATATGCTATCTCTCTCTTCCTCTCTGAAATCAAATAAAAATATATATTAAAAAGTAATTAAATTTAAAAGAAGTTAGTCATTCAAAATATAGGAGAGGCCATGGCTATTAGGGACATTTCCAAAGGGAGTATCACTGATGCCTATGTGCTTCTCAAGCTGTATGTAAAAATATATTACTGTGTGAATTGTGCCATTCATAGTAAGGCAGGCAGGAGTCAGTCTCGTGAAACCCAGAAACACCCCACACCGATTTAAACTTGCGAATGCTGCCCCACGACCTCCACCAAGGCTCATGCAAGGAACTAAGCCCTTAAAGACTAAAAGAAAAGTTATCTAGAAAAAAAATTAAATGGAAATTATATATTGTTTTTAAAAAAGACAACTGAATTGAAAAATGGGCAAAGGATCTGAATATACTATATATTTCTCCAAGGAAGATATACAGATGGCCAGTAAGCACATGAAAAGATGTTGTTTGATATAATTTTTCATCAGGAGAAATACAAAACAAACCCACAATGCAATAAATACCATTTCATACTCACTAGGATGACTAGAATCACAAATACAGATAAGAAGTGTTGTCAAGGATAACACAACATGGAGAAACTGAAAGCCTAGTGGGAATGTAAAATGGTGTGGCTAGCTGCTTTGGGAAACATTTTGGTAGTTTCTTTCTTTCTTTCTTTCTTTTTTAATAGTATATATATATATATATATATATATATATATATATATATATATATATATTTAAATATATTTTATTGATTTTTTACAGAGAGAAAGAGAGAGGGATAGAGAGTTAGAAACATCAATGACAGAGAATCATCGAGCAGCTGCCTCTTGCACACCCCCTACTGGGGATGTGCTACAACCAAGGTACACGCCTTTGACTGGAATCGAACCTGAGACCTTTCAGTCTGCAGGCTCATGCTCTATCCACTGAGCCAAACCGGTTTTGGCTCTAGCAGTTTCTTAAATGATTAGATATAGTTAACATATAAGCAAGCAAAATGAAAATATGATCACATAAAAACTTGTACCAAAATGTTTACAGTAACATTATTCATTAACAGCCAAGTTTGAAACAACTCAGATGTCATTCAACTGATGAATGTATACAAACTGTCATATATATTATACAATAAAATGTTATTTGGCCATAAAAAGGAATGAAGTACTGATACATGCTACAACTTGAAAGAACCTTGAAAACATTTTGCTAGGTGAAAGAATCCAGGTGCAAAAGACCACATATTGTATAATTCCATTTACATGAAATGTCCAGAAAAGGAAAATCTCAAGATAGAGTAGATTAGTACTTGTATAGGGCTGCAGGGGACAGAAGAAAAAGAGGTAATAGCTAAAGAGTAGAGAATTTCTTTTTTGGGTGATGAAAATGTTCTGAAATTATAGTGATGGTGGTAGCACATGTCTATAAATATACTCAAAACCATTGAATTATATACTTCAAATGGGTGAATTGCATGGTATGTGAATTATATCTCAATAAAGTTATCATAAAAACTTATAAATAAAGCAGTGTCCAGAAGGTCACTCCTGTGAACTGTGTAAAAAATGAAAAGAACTGTCCAACCAGTGTGGCTAAGTGGTTGAGTATTAATCTATGAACCAGTAGGTCACAGTTCAATTCGATTCCTAGTTAGGGTACAAGTTCAGATTGTGGAGTTGGCCCTGGTGAGGTGCATGCAGGTGGCAGCTGATCTATGACTCTCTCTCACCATTGATGTTTCTATCTCTCCCTCTCACTTCTTCTCTGAAATCAATAACAATACATTTTAAAAAATGAAAAGAATCCTCCATTCCCTTGAACTGCTAATTTACCTGGTAAGTTGTCTAAAAATTAATAGCACAAACTTTTTAAAAAAAATATTATTTATATATATATATATATATATATATATATATATATATATATATATATTATTGACTTTTTACAGCAAGAAAGGGAGAGGGATAGAGAGTTAGAAATATCGATGAGGGAGAAACATAGATCAGCTGCTTCCTGCATACCCCCCACTGGGGATGTTCCTACAACCAAGGTACATTCCCTTGACCGGAATTGAACCTGGGATCCTTTAGTCCACAGGCTGACACTCAATCCACTGAGCCAAACCGGTTGGGGCAATAGCTCAAACTTTTAAGTAATTTCTGACTCCTTTCCCATAATAGTTAGTTAATCACCAAGTACTACTGGATTCTATCTTCAAAACATCTACTAAATGTAACACTATTTCCTTTCCATGCAAAGATTTTATTCAGGTCCTCATCTACAATGGCTACCTAATGGATCTACCTGGCTCCAGATTATTTCTTCACTCAACTATAGCCTTTAGCTAACCTTTCTAAAGTTCAAGTCTTAGTATGTGACATCATTACTCTCCTATTTTTCCTTTTTTTAAAAATTGATGTGAAGGACAGAGAAGGAGGAAGGGAGGGAGGAGGGGGGAAAAGAAGGTAGGGAGGAAGAACCTGTTGCTCCACCCATTCATATATTCACTGGTGGATACCTGCACATGCCCTCACCAGGGATAGAACTCGCAACCTTGGCACATTGGATGAGGTTGCACCCGAGCTACCCAGCCAAGGCTGTTCTATTTTTCATAGAGCCTCTAATGCAGGGGTGAGGAATCTATTATTTGCCAAGGGCCATTTAGATATTTAGTAGTATAACATCATCTGCAGGCCATACTAAATTATCAACTTAAAAATTAGCCTATTATATTGGTCAAACAATTACTTAACTCACCCCTAATGCACTGGCAGGGCCAGATTAAATGGTTTTGTGGGCCTTATATGGCCTGCAGGCAGGATGTTCCTCACCCCTGCTCTAAATGGATGAAACACAAACTCTTTGGCATGGCATTCACTGATACCTAAGTACTGGAAAAACAGAATG